TTGCTGTTGTTTTAGAACAGTTTTAGACTTACAAAAAAATTGAAAAGATTGAATACACAGAGTTCCCATATACCCCACATTCAGTTTTCTCTATTATGAACATCTTACATTAATGTGCTGCATTTGCCACAATGACTGGTGCAGAGGGATACATTTTATTTAATGTCCTTTTTCTCTTCCAGGATCCTATCTAGGATGCCACGTTACATTTAGTCTTTATGTCTCCTTAGACTCCTCTTGGCTGTGACAGTTTCTTAGACTCTCCTTGTTTTACAGAATTTTGCTGGTTTTGAGGAGTACCGGTCAGGTATTTTGTAGGATGTTCTTGTATTGTCTAACGTTATTCTCATTGTGATACTAGTGTTGTGGGCTTGGGAGGCAGACCACAGAGGTGAAGCACATCGCATCACATCATATCAGAGAACCCTAACAATATGACTTGTCACGTGTTGACTGTGGTCATGCAGCTGAGGTAATGTTTGTCAGGTTTCTTCAGTATAAAGTTAACTCTTTTTTTTTCCTCTTCCTGCTGTGGTTCAAATATCTCCTCCAAAACTCATGTTGAAACTTAATTGCTGTTTTAAAAGTAGTAAGAGGCAGGACCTTTAAGAGGTGATTAGGTCATGAAGGCTCTGTCCTCATGAATGAATGAATGCCACCATCATGGGAGTGAGTTAGTTACCACACAACTGGGCTTGCTATCAGGGTGAGTTCGGCCCAGTTTCCTCTCTCTGTCTTGCTTGTACTCACTGTCCTTTTATGTTATTGATGTGGGAAGACCTCACCAGATGTGTCCCCTTGATCTTGGACCTTCTAGCCTCCATAGCCATAAGCCAAATAAACTTCTATTGTTGATCATTTATCCAGGCTGTGGTATTCTGTCACAACAGCAGAAAATGGACTGAAACGCCCCCGTTCCATGTTAGGCTGTTTGGAGGAAATCACTGTGCACAGCCCACACTTACAGACAGACTTATGGTCCACTCCATGAGGGCAGAAACCGTATAAATTATTTGAAATTATTATGCGTGAAAGTTGTCTATCTTTTTTTTTTGTCCTTTTTGAGACTGGCCGCACCACGCTCAGCCAGTGAGCGCAGTGAGCGCACCGGTCATCCCTATATAGGATCCAAACCCGCGGCGGGAGCGCTGCTGTGCTCCCAACGCCGCACTCTCCTGAGTGCGCCACAGGCTCGGCCCATCTATCATGTATTTATTTAACCATTTATTTACATCTATGTGAACTCACAAATGTGTATTTTATACTCTGGATTATTATCCAATACTACCTTGCTTTGTTGCTCAAATGGGTCCAGCTTTGGCCTCTGAGAGTTCTTTCAGTTGCTCTATATGACGTGCCCCTGTCAGTGGAGGGATCTCTGTACTTGTTTGGTTTTGTTTTGCTTTTTTCTCCCTGTTGTAGTTCTAGAATCAGTCATTTCTCCAAAGAGCCCTGGTTCTTTTCTTGGGGAATGGTATTAGAAACAAGATCTGGGTACTTTTTATGTTTTGTTTTCTTTTTGTCGTATCTGTTCTTTGTTCCCCTTTTCCTCTTTTTCTGCTTTCCTTTGGATTAGTCTTCTTTTGCCCTGTTTTGTTGTTTCTGTGTTTATGCTCTACTTTGTTTGGTTAACACAGTCCACCTTCCCACAGTTGCACGCACTTCACAGGGGGTGTAAGGATGGTGGAGAGTTTACTTTTGTGTTTCTCATCCTGGCCTGGAGGCTTTTGTCATCATGAATTTCAGTTGCATATGTTATCAACTACAGAATATATTGTTTTTATTTTTGTTTCAAAGTCAGTTATCTTTTAAAGAGATTTAAATTATAATAATGCAAAGACTGACATATTTATCCATGTAGTTACCATTTCCAGTGCTTTTTATTCTCGTGTGCAGATTTTCTCTTTGTCAGTGGTTTTGAGCATTTTGTAAGAGGTCTCCTGTTAACACTTCTGTTAAGCTACTTGAAATTGTCCCACAGCTTCCTGAACCTCTTTCCATTTTTTTGATTCTTGTTTCTCTGTTTAATTTTGGAAAGTTTCTGTTGCCGTGTCTTCAAGTTTACTAGCCTTCTGTAATTCTAATCTGTTGTTAATTTCCTCAAGTACTTTTAATATCACATGTTGTAGTTTTTATGCCTAGGAGTTCTGTTTGGGTCTTTGTATTTTTTATGCCTTTACTTTTGAACATATGGAATACAGTTATGATAACTGGTTTAAAGTCTTATCAGTTAGTTTTAACATCTGTGTCAGCCCTGGATCGGTTTCTATTAATTGATTTTTTTTTTTTTTTTCATTGTAATGGGTCATATTTTCTTGCTTCTTTGCTTGAGTGGTAATTTTTGGTTGGATTGAATTTTACTTTGTTGGGTGCTTAATATTTTTGTATTTCTATAGATTTGATTTTTGTTCCAGGTTGCAACTAAGTTACATGGCAACAGTTTGATCCTTCCATGTCATGTTTTTCAAATTTGTTAGGCATGAGTGGAACAGTGTTCAGACTAGGGCCAGTTATTTCCCCCACTGCGGCAGTGCTCCGTGAGTCCTTTGGATTTTGGTTTGCTGTGGGGGCAGCACTATTTCCAGCCCTGCATGTGATTGGTGTACAGTGTTACTTCTGATCCTTTCAGGTGGCTCTGTCCTTGTCCTTGGGTGCTTTCATAACACCTGTGCTTTGCTCAGAACTCGTCTGACTACTTGATGGGGGTGATCTCTGGTGCTTCTGCCCCTTGCTCTCATCTTTGTCTCTGCATTTGGCGACCTACTGGGTCTTCCCAGCTTCCCTCTTTCCCGGGCACAGCCTTGAGGAGGTTTTATAAGGGAAAGTATACTGGTCCCTGCTCCCCCATCTTGCCCGAGGCAGACAATCTGAGGCTTGTTGGGTGCTTCCTTACCCTGTCTTCCAGGAAGCTGCCTCTGACCTATAACATCCTCAACATTCTCATCTTAAGTGACACCGTCCTTGGCAGCCCCTTGTGTCCAGAAGAGCCCTTCAGAGCAGTGTCTGGGTGCCCTGTTCCCTCCTTCCCTGTCCCTCTTGAATGCAGGCTAGGCAGATGGTTGTTCCACTGAGACCCCAAAACTGCATTTGTCAAGCTCTGCAGTGACTCGAGTGAGGCCAGATCTACGCATTAACCCTCACCTCTCACTTACCTGGTCCTCCTGTGTCATTTTACAGTTGACAACCCCTTCATCTGTTCTCTGGCATCACACTCTCTTGACGTCTTTCCCTGACGGTTGATGACCCCTGGCTCTGTCTTGGGCCTCTCCTGCTGTGTCCTTGGCTTCAGTGAAGGCTGGTGCGTCTTTATGAGACACTCTTCCTAACTAGTGCCCTGCTTCTATAGGTGCCTTCACAGTCCATCTGCACCATGGAACCAGACAGATCTTTCCAAAATGGTCAGCCCCACATTAGTTTCTGTCATAGTTGGGTTAAAATTCTAGCATCCTAATTGATCTGATTCACACATGCCCATGTCTGTGTTCCCTCACTTCTCTCAGCTGAGCGAGCCTCCTGCTGTCTATCAACTCTGGTCCCTCATCTCGGGGCCCCTGCTACACCCTCATTAGTACACAGTTTCTATCCCTCCTCTCACCGCTGCTGTCAGGTCAGAGGGTGCCTCCTGTGCAGAACAGTACATGCCACCTGCTCAGGTTTGCTCTCCATCTGACATCGTGTGGTGTGGCGACTTGTCTGTTGATAGATATCTGCTCCTGCCTCTGTAAGCAGAGGCCTTGCCTTGCTCAGGCTGATCACAATGCCTGCAGCAGGGCCTGGTGTGCAGGGAATTCTTAGTAAGTAGCCATTGGATGTGGGGGTAGAGTGCACGCTTGGGTGGTTAGTAGGAGAACCTTGTGCATGGAGGACCAGCCTCAGGTCGTGTTTTGCATGTTCAGTCACATCAAGTCCTGTGATTTCATTTGTTTTGTTTTTTGGTGGTTTTAGCAGCTTGTTTTCTTTTTGCCGGTGGGGGTGGATTTTGTTAACACTCATTACATAATACTGGCACAAACTTTCTGTCCTTCTCTTTTGTTCTGAACGCCTTTTCATGGTCTTTGACTTTTAAAACACAAGTGTCTCTTGTATTAGTGTGGCACATGTGCTGTGCTAATTTATATGGGTACATGCAGAAAAACTCTTAGTTCCTAACATTTCAATGCCTTTCTCCTCAACATTACTAAAATACCTGTTCTCTTAAGTATCCAGAGTGCTGTGGGGTCCGGGGTCTAGCCTAAACTCCAGTTCACTCTCCACAGGCCTGGCCCATGGCCCAGTGCTACTTGTGCCCACTGGCCATGTGTCACCCACCATGCCTCTGGCATCCTCCTTCTCAGAGGTAGAATCAGCTCCTGTTTGCTCTTGAGAGCTGGTTTATTTAGTGTCTCCTGGTAAGAACTCTGTGACAGCTCAGTACTTGCCCATCACCTTGACCACTTGGGAATGTAAGGGCACCTCTAAGACTCTGGTGTGGAAACTGTCCAGTCCTTACAGCCTCTGCCAGCCTTGGCTTTTGCCTGTAGTTGTCTTTTCCTTGTTTTAATTCTTTCCTTTATATTTAGTGTCTGTGTTCTTGTAGATTACCTGGAAATCCTTTTTGAAGTAAGGCAAGGCATATTAAGTAAGCTGATATTTATTTTGTGATAAAAGGCCCCACTAAACTTTGCCAATAAAACTTACTCAAATTATTATTCTAAATTTGCGTTAACTTTTGTTTGAGGGAAAGGGAGGGGATTTTTTTTTTTTTGCATGATTTAATTTTTATTTATTATTATTATTATTTATTATTATTATTATTATTATTATTATTATTATTATTTTGGCGGCTGGCTATGCATGATTTACTGTTTTTAGTACATAAAATAATAGCATTTTTCTTATTATTGATACCCTTATGTAGGTGTGTTAATATGTTTATTGAAAACAGAAGAATTCCTGTACTGAAATATCTGCTTGTTAAGTTTTAAGCCATTTTTCCTGAGTTGATCGTTGCTTTTATGTAGGAGGCAATGTATCTCAACCAGAAAGCCAGGAGGACCCCCGTGAAGTACTTAAGAAAACATTGGAATTCTGCTTATCTCGGTAAGGCTGGTGGTGATTTTTCTAGTAACTAACGTCTGGTGGTATGTGTTGGTTACCCTATGCAAATGTGACATTTTACATAGGAGTGTATATCTGTTACTATCTGTCTATGTATGTGTATATCTATTAATAGGAAATCTAGAATACTAAGTAATAATAGCCTTCCAGCATGTTGGAAAACTGAGCATAATCTTCAGGTCAGTGTCCCCAAAGTTGTGTCCACAAAATTCATCATTATCTGGATTGCTGTTTGAAATTCAGATTCCTAGGCCCACCCCTTGCCCACAGAATCAGAGTCTCTGAGGGTGGGGCCTTAGAATCTTCAGTCTCACTAAAGTTTGAGAACAAATGTCCTACATTGTTTCTGAGAATATGCCAAACACTGCTGTAGCAAATGGTTTTATTAACAGTCATGCACCATCTAACGATGTTTCAGGCAATGACAGACTGCAAGTACGATGGTGGTCCCATCAGATTTTAATGGCTACGCCACATAACCTGGGTGTGCAGTAGGCTGTACCATTGAGGTTTGTGTGCAGACGCACAATGGTGATCACCTATCAGCACATTTCTCAGAACTAACCTTGTGGTTAAGCAATGCATGACTGTATATAGCACTCCTATTTCTTGTTGGTTTCTTTTTTTTCCTGAATAATACCTTTTCTTTTGAAAAATATAGTGGAACCTGTAACATTCAAATGGCAGAACTGGACATACAGGAAGATGAGATTGGGTTAAATGTAATTTTTTTTATTATGAAGATAATCGATTGGCCGCGTGTAAACTTTTCTGTCCATAATGATTTTTCAGGTGTTTTCTCTGGAGTCCTGAGGATCTGACAGAGGTGTCGGGCTGCACGAGGGGGAGTTGTGAGGGGCTCTGTTTGTGCCAAGCCTTCTTCCCACTTCCGTGTAGCCACAAATTAGGAACACGGAGTGTATTGCGTAATGGCATAGTTTAAAAACAGAAGATACCATGGCAGACATTGAAAAACCCTAGCTCTGCGCCACTCACAAACCCTTATCTAACCCTGCTATGGCCAGAGTCACGCACAACTGGGAGGCAGCTCGCATGATGCGGCAGAATGGCTTCCCCCCATGCCAGCAGATGCAGCAGATGCTGCAATCATCACTGGCCTCAGTGGGGCATGCTGTGACGAAAGATCCTGTGAAACCCATTACTGCATGTGGTTTTGAGATGTTTTTGGAGGCCTTGTGTACTACATTATACATGGTCTTTTTCCTGAGAATTGACAGGAAACCCTTACCTTTGGCCCAAATACCAAGAAATAGCTCACCCTGGCCTAAACTCCTGATTTGTGGCTTACCTTTGGACCCTGTGGGTAAAAGTCACTGATCCTGTTTCCTTCTTTTTAATTCTGGCTGGTAGGAAGCCAGAGCCAGATTCACAGGTTCTCTGGCAAATGTTCCAGACTTACAGCCTGCATTCTGGATACTGACCTTATATCCTGGCTGTTCCATATTTTTCTTTCTTTTTTGTTCATTCAGCCAGATTTCCTCACTTTAAAAAATTATGTCTTTTTAATAAACTACTCAAACACTTTTTAGAGCAAAAATGAGCTGTAAATAACTGCATCTTAAAAATAATTTCCAGCTCATTAATTCTCATTGTATAAAAGTGCAGCATATTTTTACTTTTGCGCTCTCTGCCTCTCCAAGCGTCTTTTTTTTTTTTTTTTTTTATGTACGTGAGGCCAGAGGGATAGCAAATAACAGATGGGGCTTGAGCTGTGACCTCATTCCAAAGCAGTACCATACCACATTCGTCCCTGTCGTGAAAGGAGCACTGCTGTAGATGACACCTCCTTTTAAAGAAATGCTGATTAAAAGAGATTTTTGTTTCCAACAGGGAGAATCTTGCTAGTGACATGTATCTTATATCACAGATGGACAGTGATCAGTATGTGCCAATTACGACGGTAGCGAACCTTGACCATGTCAAGAAACTCAGTACTGATGTTGGTTTGATTGTGGAAGTTCTGCGATGTAAGTACATGACCATCACAAATGTACAGTCCTTGGCTCTGCCATATTTGTCTTATCAGTGTGAACTGTTGAGTCTGTAACCATCAAATGTTAAGGTGTTTGATGGCAGGTGGGGTCTTCCCTGGCCTTTCGTTTCTTTTCTGACCAGTCCCCGTAATTCTGATACAGTGCTTGGCAGCCTCCGGGGTGCTGATTGAGTCCAGAATGAAACTTCAAACAGATTGTGGGTTATTTGAAGTAGAAGAGGAATCTTTTCATGTAGATTTTAAAGACAGCTATTACATTCATAAACAAATTAAACTGCAGTATTTATGGTTAAAGCAAAATGCGTCTTAATTAGCATTTTCAAATTTCAACTTACTGCTTAAGTTTTGATGAAATATTATTGCACTTTTCCTTACAAGGATATTGTGAATAAGGTTGTTTCTTAGAGGTCTGGCAACATCAAGCAAATATTTAAACATGACATGAAAGACCCACAGGAGTTTCAGGAAACATGGATATTAAAGTGTTACCTGTTAAGTATCACAATTGTAGTTTGTATCCTGGTTTGTTTTGAAGATTGAGGCTTCTGCAACCTTTCCTCCTTATTTATTTAAGACAAGAAAACAGCTTTGCTACGGTATAATTGACATGAAGTACACATGTCTAAAGTGCACAGTTGTTAAGTTTGAGGTACAAGTGCAGGAGTGAAACTGCCACCACCATCAGCAGAACGGAGCTGCTCCGGGCCTTTGGGATGCTTCCCATCTGGGAGACTTCACTGTGCATCCCTTCTCTATTAAGGATATATTGGAAGTCTTTTCAAATCAGACTGTTTTAAAAATTCATTTTTTACACTAGGGTTAAAATACCAGGTGAATTATTTCTGTAGTTTCCCTGCTCAGGACCGCTGAGTTGTACAACCTGGTAGGTGGACATCCTCACAAAGAGCACAGTGTTGATGGACCATGCTGTTCCTCCCTGCCACTGCCCATCTATTTTTGAACAACTGGGCATTGCTGTGGACTGAAGCCTCATTTCTCTCACTGCCATGATGTCCCATTACTGACACTCATGTGGAAGCATTTTCACGTTATCCCGGCTTAGCTGTATTGATGACACAGTCCGTGCAGATTTTTTTCTCATGTGGATTTGTATTAATAGCATAAAAAGATGAACATCTTAGAACTTCGTTGGATTTTCTCTTCACAAATAAAAGTTGTATTCTATTTTTCTGTTCTTAGATGTCATAGATTATTAAATTGTTGAAGCAGACAGCAAAGAACCTGGCAAACATAATTATCATTAACCATGAATTCTGAAGATTGTGCCCCCACATCCCACAATGGTGTTGTGCTTTCCAGTGTTGCTGTTTAGAGCAGAAGCCTGTTGTGTGTATCAGCCAAACATGGCTTCGTCTGACCCACTTTAAAAGGCCGTTACCTCGGTACCTTTCAGGACCTGTCTGTACTTTACTCTGTTGTTATTGGGAATCCCAGATTTAGTTACTCTGTTTAGGTATACCTTGCAAACTTTGCTGCCCCACTGAGGATAATTTCTCAGTTGATTCTTGCTCGTTATGGGTCCGTCATGCACACTATGAGGATATTTAATTGCTCTCTGTAGTTGCTTGGAGGAGCGTGCCCGTCCATGGTCGACATGGCACCCATTCCTGCCTCAGCTCCACCTATCCTTCTCCATGACTATACCTCTGGATGACTTTTGAATTGCGATGTTACTTTTTATTCATTTGTATTTAGCTCTTTAATGTCTCATTGTCTTTTTTCATTTAGTTTTTGGACAGAAAAAAATATATGTGCATCTGTAATAACCTATGTACTCACAACATAGTTAGCATATTGTCATATTAGTTGTACTTCTGAAGAGGGTAACATAAATAAGCCCCCGTGAGCAGAATTCTCATCTTATGTTTAAATCTTATCCTCATGTCCAAAATACCTAGCAAAGAGTCAGGTGCATAGAGGACACTTGATAAGTATTTTATTTTAATTTGAATATTGCAACTCCAGTGTTGATTGAGTTGTATAGGTTACATTTCTAGACTGTTTTTATATCCTAATACACATATAGTACATGTCACGGTGTATGTGATTCAAGTGCTTTTTTTTTACACTTACTATAATTGAAATTGCCAATTTAGAAAACCATACTAAAATGTTTGCCAGCAGAATAATTACACTGTGTTGTATTCACACAGTGAACACTAGAACTATTAAAATGAGCTAGGTCTACGTTTTTCAACAAGAATAAATTTTAAAATAATAACATTTTCAAATATGTGCAAGATGATACCGTGTGTATAAAGTTTGGTTATGTGTAAAACAGAACTGTATATTTTTTATGGATTCAGAGGTAAATGTTAGTGTAGAAACATAAGCAGGAATGAAACTCCTAACCCAGTATAAATGTGGATGAGGGTGGGTGATTCAGGAGGTGGGAGGTACGGAGGCTCTCACCAGTCAGTGTCTGTTAAGTGTTTCATGTTTTGCAGCTTTATTGAGGGAGAATTTATGTGCCTTAAATTACACATTTTAAGTATCCCTTTGGTAGGTTTTGACATATTTATACTTCCATGAAACTAGTACAATGAAGATAGTGAACATATCCATCACCCCCGAGTTTTCTTCTCCTCTTCCCCTGGCACCTGCTGATCTGCTCTGTCACTATAGATTAGTTTTCATTTTCTAGAAATTTTATATAAATGGAATCAGTCATGCCATACCACTGTTTTGGTTGGGATAGAAGGTCTGGCTTTCACTTAGCCTATTTTGTTGTTGGGTGAATCAATAGATCATTGCATTGGATAGATAATACCAAATTGGTTTATTCACCCACGAGCTGATAGACTGTAGGTTATGCCAGGTTTTGACAACTATGACAGAAGTGGCTGTGAAAGATTGTGGGAAGCTGTGTATAGTGTGGCATGTGCTTCCCTTGCTCTTTGGTGAATAGCGAGGGGTGGAGCGTGTGGCAGGTGTGTGATTGACTTTGTGAAATGCTCAGCTGTTTTTTGGACCTGTAAGGGGATCACAACCCTCGGCACGGTGTCGTCTGCACCACGCTCAGCCAGTGAGTGCACCGGCCATCCCTATATAGGATCCGAACCCACGGCCTCGGCGCTACCAGCACCACACTCTCAAAGGCCAGCCCAACTGCCCAGCTGTTTTACAGCTGGACGTCAGCAGCCGTGATAAGAGCTCTCATTGCTCCATACCTTTGTCCAGACTTGGGATGCAGTCATTTAATGTTAGGGTTTAGTAGGTGTGTAGTGGTCCCCATTGTGGTTTAATTTTTTGTTTCTCTAATGATCGATGATGTGGAGCATCTTTTCATGTGCTTATTTGCCCTCCTTTTTCTTCTTTGCTGAAGTGTCCGTTCAGATGTCACCACCACATACTTTTCTATTAGTTTACAATAAAGTTTTTTTTTTTAATACACTTTATTTTTTAGAGCTGTTTTGGGTGCACAGAAGAATTGAGAGGAAGGTACAAAGATTTCACATATACCCAGCCTGCCCCACTATCAACATCTCCACCAAAGGGTCCATTTGTTACAGTCAGCAAACCTAGATGGACACATCATTATCACTCAAAGCCCACAGTTTACATGAGGGTTTGCTCTTGATGTTCTTCACTCTGTGGGTTTGGACAAATGGATAATGACATGTACTCCTCGCTGTAGTTATCATACAGAGTAGTTTCACTGCCATAAAAATCCTCCGTGCTGTACCTGTTCACCCCTCCCTTCCCCCAGCCCCTGGCAACCACCGATCTTTTCACTGTCTCCATAGTTTTGCCCTTTCCAGAATGTCATATAGTTAGAATCATTCAGTATACAGCCTTTTCAGATTGGCTTCTTTCACGTAGTAATATAAATTTGTGTCCTCCATGTCTTTTCATGGTTTGATAGCTCATTTCTTTTTTTTCTTTTTTTGGTATGGTGATATCTGGGTGTGTTTTTTTTTTTTTTTTTTTAGTGCTGAATGATATTCCATTGTCTGGATGGACCACAGTTTATTTATCCATTCACCTACTGAAGGGCATCTTGGTTGCTTCCAGGTTTTGGCAATTTAAGAATAAAGCTGCTGTAAACATTCGAGTGCAGATTTTTGTGTGCACTTAAGTTTTCAACTTACTTAGGTAAATACTAAGGAACACAATTGCTGGGTCATATGGTGATAACATGATTAGTTTTATATGAAACCATCAAACTGTCTTTCACAGTGGCTGTACCATTCTGCATTCCCACCAGCAGTGAATTAGGGTCCCTGTTGCTCCACGTCCTCACCAGTGTTTGGTGTCGTCAGTGTTCTGGATCTTCGCCATTCTAATAGATGTGTAGTGGTATCACACTGTTGCTTTAATTTGCGTTTCTCTAATATCATATGATGTGGAGCATCTTTTTATGTGCCTATTTGCCATCTGTATATCTTCTTTGGTGAGGTGTCTGTTCATGTATTTTGCCCGTTTTTGTTTGGCAGCTGGCCGGTATGGGATCTGAACCCATGCTGGATTTATAAGACTGTGCTCTAACCAACTGAGTTGACTGGCCAGCCTTGCCCATTTCTTACTCGTGTTGTCTGTTTTCTTACTGTTGAGTTTTGAGTTCTCTGTATGTTTCAGTTAACAGTCCTTTATCAGATGTGTCTTTTGCAAATATTTTCTCCCAATCTGTGGCTAGTCTTCTCATCCTCTTGACATCATCTTTCACAGAGCAAGAGTTTTAAATTTTAGTGAGCTCCAGCTTATCAATTCTTTCTTTCATGGATTGTGCCTTTGGTGTGTATGTAAAAAGTCACTGCCTGACCCAAGGTCAGCAAGGTTTTCTCTTGTGTTCTCTTAGGAGTTTTGTTTTGCGTTTTACGTGTAGGTCTGTGATCCATTTTGATTTTTGTGAGGAGTATAAGGTCTGTGTCTAGATTTCTTTTCTCATGTGGCTGTCCAGTTGTTCCAGCACCATTTGTTGAAAAGGCTGTCTTTGTTCCATTGTCACTTTGTCAGAAATGTGCGTGTGTGTGAACCTAATATAAACTCTGCATGCAAGTCCTTATCCGATAATGATTTACAAATATATCCTCCCAGTTAGTGGCTTCTCTTTTTCTCCTCTTAACTGTCTTTTGAGAAGCAGAATTATACATTTTACATAGTCTAATTAAATTTTTTTTTATAGATCTTGAAATCTTTGTTTGTCCGAGGTTACAAAGATGTTCTCCTAGGTTTTCTTTTAGAAGTTTGCAGTTTTGGGTGTAAGCTGATTACTGCATGCCATGTGAGGCGTCACTCTGTAGGTGGCTCTTGCAGGCAGCATTGGGTGAAGACTCCCCTTTTCCCACTGCACTGCTCTGGGGCCGTTCTCACAGCCCTCTTTCACACACCTGTGGGTTTGTCTCTGGACCACTGTGCTGTTTCACTGATTCACTTGTTTGTTTGATGCAGGTACTACAGTGTCTTGATTACAATAACTTTTTGTAAAGTTATGGTATGTACAAAATCTTAAGCTTTGTTTTGGTTCTTCTAAATGCTTTTCATTTCTATATGAATTTTAAAATTAACATTACCATTTTTCAAAAAGTCCTGTGGGGACTTTTATTGGGATTGAACTGATTCTATAAATCACTTGAGGTGAATTGACACCTTACCAATCTCTTCATTCACAGATGTTTCTCAACTTATAATAGGGCTTACGTCCCAGTAAACCTATCCTAAATTGAAAATATCTAAATTGAAAATGCATTTAATACCTAACCTACCAGACATTATGGCTTAGCCTAGCCTACCTTAAACATGCTCAGAACCCTAACGTTAGCTTACGGATGGCAAAATCATCTAACACAAAGACTGCTTTACAGTAGAATATTGAATCATGCATGTAACTTATTGAACACTGTACTGAGAGCAAAAAACAGAATGGTTGACTGGGTACTCAGAACGGTTGCTAATGAATGTGTATCGCATCTGCACCATCCTGAAGTCAAAAAATAGTTAAGTTGAGCCATCCTAAGTTGGGGACTGTCTGTCTTTAGGTTTTTAAAAATGTTCTCTCAGCAGTATTTTTCAGTTTTCATTGTACATGTTTTCCATGGTTTTATATCAGATTTGTAACTATTTTGTTTTTTTATGCTAAATGATTTTTTATTTCAATTTCTAATTTTTTGGCAGTAGTACATAGAAATAAAATTCAATTTGTATATTAATCTTGTGTAATAAAACCTTGCTAAACTCAATTCTACTTTTTTATGAAAATTGTATCAGATTTTATACATAGATTAACTTGTCTGTGAATAAAAAGTTTTGCCTCTTTATACCCGATCTGGGTGTCTTTAACTTCTATTTCTTGCATTATTATGCTATGTAGAACTCCAGTATAGTATGTATAGAGGTGGAGAAGGCAGACGTCCTTGCTGTGTTGCTGGTCTTGGGGGAAAGCATTCAGTCTGCCATCATTACATATAATGCTCACTGCAGGTTTTTCATAGGTGACATTTATCAGGTTAAGGAGGTTCCCTTCTGTTTCTAGTTTGCTGAAAATTTTTATCAGGAATGAATGTTGGATTGTCAAATACTTTTTCTGCATCTCTGAGATGATTGAGGGTTTTTTTGTTTTTTTAAATCATTCATATAATTAGAGTGCTTGATTGCAGTTGGCAAACCAACCTTGCATTGCTGAAATAATCTCCACTTCTTGTGATTTATCACCATTTTTATATATTGTTGGATTCAATTTGCCAATATTTGGTTAAGACTTTTTGCATCTATGTTCATGAGGGATATTGGTCTGTATTTTTTTTTTTTTGTAATGTCTTTGCTCAGTTTAGGTGTCGGAGAATTGCTGGTTTCAATAGAAAGAATTGGAAAGTATTCTCTCCTTTATAATTTTCTGGAATAGTTTGTACTATGGAATTGATATTATTTTTTATTTACATGTTTGATAGAATTCTCCCATGAAACCCTGTGGGCCTTTACTTTAGTTTTCTTTATGGGAAGATTTTTAACTTCAAATTCCATTCATCTCATAGATTCAGTTCTGTTTCAACTGTTTCTTCTAGAGTTAGCTTTTGTAGTTTGTGTCTGTTAAGGAATGTTTCTGTTTCATGTAAGCTGTCAGATTTGTTACTGTAAAATTTTTCATAACGTTTATTTGTTATGCTTTTAATATTGGTAGAACCCGTAGTGACATTACCGCTTTCATTTCTGACATTGGTGACTGTGTCTTTGTGGCAGTTGTGATCGTGACATACCGTTACTCAGTCTACACAGAGCATAATTTCATAGAAGTGACACCAAAACACAGACTTAAGAGGGAAGTGCATGTAGAAATTGATGGAGTCTGAATTAGGCCTCTTCCTGAGTTGGCAGTTCTGTACCAACATGGGCATCCTTGTTTTGACATCGTGCTGTGTTTGTGTGAAGTGTGCGGGGAAGGTAGGGCACACGGAGCCTTGTGCGAGTCCTAGAACTATTAGAAAATACAGTTACAGTAAGACACAGTTCTTTTATTTTAGGGACTTGTTGAAAGGAGAAAGTCCTTAACCCTGTATTTTAATCTGCTTTTAGTATTTGAGCTGTTTAGAACCTTTGTTTCATAGTGTTACATGTATTATGGCTCTTGCAGGACTTTTTAAGTTTTCATGTTCCTTAGTTCTGAAAAAATTAACATGTGAGATTGGTTTAGAACTGTTTGATAGTCTGTGTTAGACTACCCAAACTTGCAATCGTTTGCCCATTTCATACAGGTTTCTTTAATTTGTTTAGTGATATAGCAACCCTCCATGTCCCTTGGTTCTTCATCTGCAGTTCACCCAACTGCGAGTAAAAGATATTTGGTGGGGAAAAAAACAATAAAAAATAAGTATACAACAATAAATATATACATATGTATAAATTTTTAAAAATACAGTATAGCAGCTATTTACAAAGCATTTCCATTGCATTGGGCATTACTAGTAATCTAGAGGTGATTTGAAGTATATGGGAAGATGTGCGTAGGTTGCATGCAAATACTGCACCATTTTATATCAGGGACTTGAGCATCTGTGGATTTTGGTATCCATGAGGATCCTAGAACCAATCCCCTGAGGATGCCGAGGGATGACTGTCTCATGTAATGCATTACGTTGGAATTATCATGTTTCAATATTTGTGTTTTACCATTGATTTTTCTTCTCTTTATAGCTTTACCTTTAGTCCAAGTGGATGAAAAGGGAGAAAAAGTAAGGCCAAATCAAAACCGTTGCATAGTAATACTGCGGGAGATACCTGAGTCTACCCCTGTGGAAGTAAGTGACCTTCTCTGAAAGGGTACTTGGACGTTTCCTGAGGGTTTTTGTTGGCTGTGACTTTTTTTACTTCTGTGGTTTTTGGAGGGTGTGTTTTTAAGAATAAATGCTTACAGTAGCGCTGTTTTCCCAGGATGTATGTACTCTGGTCATTGCTGGGTGGTTCACTTGTAGAAGGAATTGATTCTCAAACACTTTGGTCTCAAGACTCCTTTACACATTTTACATTAAAAATTGTAGTGAGGGTGTGCGCATTTTGGTATTTAGAAATTAAAAATGAGAAAAAATTTAAATATTTATTCATTTTAAAAATAGCCATAATAAACATACAGGTTAAAATAAAGAGCATTTTTATGATAAATAACTTTTCAAGACACATATTTTTATGGCAAGTGCATCAAGAACTCCTGAACATCAGCATACTTCCACACTAGCATGCCCACTCTTGTACTCACCAGCGATTTTGCATCGTCATTACACATGGGTTTAGAGTTAAGAAAGACAAAATCATCTTTTGTGTGTGCAAATGGGTTCTAGAGATCATCCTTAGAGAACTAGTAACTTTGGACAGTACTTTTAGGGGACCACAGTATTTGATAGTTTAAGAATAATGAGAAACAGTCTACTGCATTGCTGTAATCTCTGTTACTTGTCCAGACATTTAAACTGAGTTGCGTATACATAACCACCCTGATGCATTGCCTTGAGATAGTGAGGAAACGTCTGCCCAGTGAGTGCTCGGAACCCCGCCCGTCACATCTGTTATTGGCCACCTCACCGTGCAGCACCTACCTGCTTTGGGGACTCTTGGAGAACTCCAGCAATTTTGTCTTGGCTTCTTATGTGATTGAAGCCAAGTCGTTTGTGCTACATAACTTTTTTTTTTTTTTCCTTTTTGTCTTTTTTTTTTCGTGACCGGCAACGGATCGCAACCCTCAGTGTCGCGCCCGGACCGGACCGGACCGGGACCGGCAACGGGATCGCAACCCTCAGTGTTGCTCCCGCATCTCGCTCAGCCAGTGAGCGGCCAGTCTGTATGTGGGATCCGAACCCTCGGCGGGAGCGCTGCCGCGCTTCCCAAGCGGCGCACTGTAGCAGTGCGCCACCGGGCCGGCCCAGTGCTACATAACTTTTTAAACACCTTATTTGCGAAGGAAATAGACATTTCTATTCATGCTTTCAAGATTTTACCTTTTCCATCCTACTGGGTTCATGTAGTGAGGGAGAACACTTGAAAACTGTAACAAAGGTGAGGGTCCCAGATACATCCCACGCCTAGGGTGAGAAACTATACTACTTGCTTAGCAAGTTTTATTTTCTGTTCAACACAGGCTATTTTTACTAGTGCTATTTTATTTTATTTTATTTTATTTTATTTTATTTTATTTTATTTAGTTGTACAGAGAAATTGAGCAGAAAATAGGTAGTTCCCATACTCCCCTTCCATATGCAGTGTCTCCTGTTATTGACATGTTACATTAGAGTGTACGTTTGTTCCAACGATGAATCAGCACGGATCTGTTATTATTAACTACGTTGTACAGAGAAATTGAGCAGAAAATAGGTAGTTCCCATACTCCCCTTCCATATGCAGTGTCTCCTGTTATTGACATGTTACATTAGAGTGTACGTTTGTTCCAACGATGAATCAGCACGGATCTGTTATTATTAACTACATTTTACGGTAGGGTTTGCTCTTTGTATTGTATAGTTCTATGGGTCTTGCCAAATGCGTAATGTCCTATATTCACTGTTACAGTACCATACAAAACAGTTCTGTTGCCCTAAAAATCCTCTGTACTCTACCTGTTTATCTTCTTTTCCCTCCCTATTTTTTCTAGTTCTGTGTTGTAATATATGGAGAAAAAGAAATCAGAATTGTATATTTTTCCCTTATATTTTTATTGAAGTTCTGAATATGAAGAACCAACATATTTCTTATTAATCTGATGTCTTTATTATTAACTCAATTCTAAAACATAGATCCTAGTTTTCAAGACTTGAAATATTTGTAAGAAGTACAAGCAAGTCAAATTTTCCACATTTAACTATAGACATTGATCTTGGTATATTTATATTATTCATCGTAAAATCTGAACGATGAAAGTCTTGAGAGAAGATTTAGAGGAAACCCTATGATAAACTAAAAGTCGAAAAATGGAGGAAGGAAAATTATTCCAAAGCAGTCTGAATAAGAATATAAGGAAAAGAAAGTCCCAAGGACTCTCTGTAATATAAAGCTCTTCTACTGGGGCTTCGAAGTGTAATCCAGGCGTTTCCTGAAAATTCTGTCTTCTTTAAATGTACCTAAGTACTTGTCAGTGACTAGAAAATTTTAAATATAGATTCTGATTTTCTTAATGATAGTTTAGGTAGGATTTTCCCAGAGGCAGAGGAATAAACCATTCTTTCTACTAGTAGACTGGTTATCTGGTGGATTGAAGTATTACTGGTTGAAGAGTTTTTTTGTTTGTTGTTATTGTTTCCTGGTTGAGTTTAGAAGTTGTAGTACTAACTAGTAGTCAAGTGTGACTTTTGCATTGACGTGGTTGTTTCTTCCTTTAGCCAGTGAGCAAATTGCCAGAGATTAGACGACAAACCAGCATGGGAATCCCTGGGAACAATTTCTGTCATTCATTGGTTGGTTAAACTCCTTTAGTACCTTTTGAAGTGTAACTGGCTAATCATTTTTTATGATATGGCCCTGTTTTCCCCTGGGACTATTTTCCCTCTGAAATCTGTTTTGTCTGGTATGAATAGATCCACTCCAGCTTTCTTGTATTAAAGTTAGTGTATGTCTTTTCCATCCTTTTACTTTAAGCCATTTGTGTCTTTATATGTAAAGTGGGTTTCTTATAAGCATGTAGTTGGGTCTTGTTTTTCTTATTCAGTCTGAAAATTTCTGCCTTTTAATTGGGGGTGTAGCCCGTTTATGTGTAAGTGATTAATGATGTGGTTGGGTTTAAATTTACCATCTTGCTGTTTTTCTATTTGTGTCTTTTCTTTGTTTTCTCCTCCTGCCCCCCGTTTTTTTAGTTCAATGAGTATTTTCATCTCCTTTTTTGGCTTATTATGTATAACTTTTTTTTTTTTTAAAGAGGTTGCGTTAGGGTTTACAGTTGGTATCTTTAACTTGTCCGTGTGTTTGTAATCAGTGTAAACCGTCTCTCTTCCATTTTCCATTGTGCCTTTGTGCTGTTGTCACACATTTTAATTCTGCTTAATCGTAACCCAAAACGTATTTTTGGTATGTTTGCTTTAAGCAAGTCAGTCTCCTTTTAAAGAGACTGTCAGTCTTCCATGTTGGCTCTGGTGATAATTCTGATGCTCTGTCTTCCCTCCTCTCCTCCTGGCCGCTGTGTGGACATTGCTGCTGGTTTGAGCAATTTGTTCACAGGATGCCTTGGTGTTGCTTCCAAGTTTCCTGCACTTGAAGTTCATTGAGCCATTATGTTTTCCAATGTTTTCTCTTTTCTTCCATCTGTCTTTTTGTTCAGAAAGTGTCTAACTACCTGGTAATTTTGTTCAGTTTATTTTTTATTTCTGACATATTTTTTCATTTCCAGAAGTTCAATAATTTGGGTCTTCCCCCACCCCCCAGATCGCCCACATTTCTATTTAACATGCTCAGTCTTCACTTTTTGGAGCATGTGGAACATATACCCAGTAACTATTTTAATGTTTTTGTCTACTGATTCTATCATCTGTATCATATCTAGATCTAATTTGAGTGGTTTGTCTTTGCATGCTGGCTTGGTAATTTTTGAGTGGACACCAAGTATTTTGAGCTTACTTCACTGGTTACGGAATATTTTTGTGTTCTTATATATATTCTTGAGCTTTGTCTTGAGATGCAGTTACATTACCTGAAACCAGTTTGATCCTTAAGGCAGAATCAGAGTAGCCTTTACTCTAGGCTTATTTTTCCCCGTTGCTGAGGCAGTGCCTTTCATGGTACACCATCTGCTGTCCTTTAATGCAGGAGGGTCTTCCTCTCTGGCTGGTGGGACACACACTACTCGCCTCCCAGTGAGCCTTCTCTGGGGTTATTCCTCTAGGCATTTCAGGCTGAAGACCTGGGGAATTCCCTCCCCAAGCTCCAGGGCCTACTGGCCGCATGGCTGGAAATTCTAGTCATGAGCTTGGCACCTGCAGGGCTTTCCTTGTTCATGTCCCCTGAGGATTGATTTTCTGTACTGCCTCATGTCTGGCTCTGAAAACCATTATTCCACGTATCTTGTCTTTTTTTTGTCTTTTTTTGTCTTTTTTCCGTGTCCGGCAACGGATCGCAACCCTCAGTGTTGCCCCCGTACCGGACCGTGGACCGGCAACGGGATTGCAACCCTCGGTGTTGCTCCTGCGCCCTGCTCAGCCAGTGAGCAGGAACTGGTCTGTATGTGGGATCCGAACCCTCGGGCGGGAGCGCCGCTGCGCTTCCCAAGCGGCGCACTATCCAGTGCGCCACCGGGCCGGCCCTTGTCTTTTGTTTTTAATTGTGTCATGTGAGAGGGTAAATCTAGTCCACCTTGGCTGAAAGCAAAAGTCCAGCTAATTTTTTTATTTCTTAAATTATCTTTTTTTTTTTTAAAGCTGTGTAGTTATCAGCCTCATGGTAAAATACTATATTTTTTGCATTAATGTGGTTCATGCATAATTGTTCTCCTGAGCGTAGTGATCTGATGTGGAAGTCCCGCTGAGCCCTAAGCCTCTGTTGAGAGAGAGGGTCACAAGGCATCAGAGTACTGGACTGTGAAAGGGTATGTCCTTGAGAGGATGTATGCTTTTACTTTGGTGAGAACATAAATTGGTGTAGTGAAGAGTTAATTCTGGCCTCCCTTTTCCCTGTAGGAAGTAGAGGCACTATTTACAGGAGACAATTTACCAAGATTCATAAACTGTGAATTTGCCTACAATGACAACTGGTTTATTACATTTGAAACAGAAGCTGATGCACAGCAGGTGAGTTCTTTCCACCACCCCTGTGACGTACGTGGCTTATCCATATTCAGTATTAGTACACACTGGGACTAAACTCGGCATTGAAATTTCTGTCTTACCATAGTGTTAAGTTTGAAGACAAGTGCAGAGGGAAGTTGTCATAAAAACTTACACGCGTGTTTTTGTGTAGACAGTTTTCGTAGCAATATATGACATTGCTTTCTGAGGACATTGTAAAATAGGCAGACTAGAAAAATCAATTTTGTTCTCATATCTAGGCAGGAAAGGTTTTACTCTTGGCAAACTGTTTTGGGGAACTTTGAATTCAGCCATAACCTTTCAGTAGGCATCATTGCGAGCTGCAGGACACTCAGAGGTATTGAGAAGTGAGCTCTGTGAGGAGACGTAAGGAGTTAAATTAGTTTCCTTGCCCTTAAAGGAAGCATCTTGTTTGGAGGAAACAGATTAACATATGTAAAGGAGTGCCATTGTGTTATAAAGTATTAAATGGTGTAAGTGCTACCAGGGGTTCAGAAGAGAAAACACAAAAACTTCAAAGATGGGTTTTAATTGGAAGGAAGGGGGTAAAAGGGGGACTGGGGGATGAGCCACCCTGTCTGTGTAGGGCTCCACTGATGCACACTTGAGTGTATCAGATGGGGCTGAGTCAGGGTGCAGAGCTGTCCGCATTTCCTAGAGCGTTTAGAGTAGATTTAATCTGGAGAAGAACAAGAAGCTGTATAAATAACGATTTACAAATGTGGTGATCCTAATCTTCTCCCTTCCTATCTAGCACTTCCTTTCAAATTGGGGTTAATACTAGGAATTCAGTGTTTATTGTTTTTCCTAGGTCAGGATTCTTGGCCTGTGGTCTTTGGGAGACTTTTTATGTTATCTGTTAATACTTACAAAATTGTGTACACATTTTATTTGTGAGAATTTTGGGTAGAGGTTCCATAGCTCTTACTAGGTTATTTTAAGGGATCTGCGAACCAAATTGGGTGAAGACTCACTGTTCTAGGTCCTGTTCACCATCTGGTAACCATACAGTCCTCATTTAAGCTATTGAATTAACTATCAGTTCCTCTTATTTATAAAATTAACTGAATAGTATTTTGGATGATTTTGCCTTTAGGCTTACAAATACCTTCGAGAAGAAGTCAAAACTTTTCAAGGAAAGCCAATTAAGGTAAGCAATGCCATTAGTTATACTTTCTTCATTTGCAAATTGATGTTCTTAAGCATTCTGATAGAAACTTGTCTTCAAACAGGCTCGGATAAAGGCAAAGGCAATAGCTATAAACACGTTTTTGCCAAAGAATGGATTTAGACCTCTGGACGTGAACCTTTATACACAGCAGCGTTACACAACATCTTTTTATTTACCTCCAGTATACAGTCCTCAACAGCAGTTTCCTCTGTACAGCCTGATCACCCCCCAGACGTGGTCAGCAACGCATAGCTATCTTGATCCACCCTTGGTGAGTCCTTTTTTACTTGGGATTTACTTAACGGAAATCTATATTGTAGATACTGTGCTAGGTACTTTGAAGGATTAAAATCCTAGTCTAATAGGGGAGCCAGCTGTACATGGCAGTTTGCTATAGTAAAACACCTTCATGTTATGTAGTGGATTTTAGATTTATTTGGGAAGTAAAAACTGAGGTATGTCCATCAACAGCTCAGAAATATTGTGAACGTGATCCTCGCCCAGTTCATCTCCCCTCCAGCCCAGTACTTCCTTTCCTAGGCTGTGCAGTCCCTAGCAAGAAGCAGGGTGCAGTAAGAGCTCTGAAGGAACTGGTGTCCTTCTGAGCACAAAGGGAGGTGTAAGGGGAGACTTGTTAAGGAGAGCAGGTGTCTCGTGGCTGGGCCGAGCAGAAGGCCTGCTGTCTCACGGCTTTCTTTCACCACCTCTCACACCCGCTGTAGGGTCAGCTGGCATGATCAACTTTCACAAGTTTTTTCCTGTGGTCAGAATGTATATATTTGTGATGTGTCCAGTTGTTTTCTCTGCAGCTGCGCTGTGTAGATGCTAGAAAGATCAGGGGGGTCCTGGCTGGGCGGTAGCATGAGTTTGGTAGTATGGGTGCAGGAGAGCCTGCGGTGTGCTGACAAGTGTCCTTGCAGCCGAGGTTCAGGTAAACAGAAGTTGGGCTGGAGGTTGCTCGATTCAGCCACGCAGGTTCTGTTGGAACAAGAGAGATGGAAGGTAGGGTGCACAGAAGGTTATGGTCAGAAAGCAGAGACTGAACGAGTACCTCTAAGAAGAGTTCACGACCAGGATGTAGCTGTAGGCGCAGGCAGCCTGCTGCACAGGGATGGATGGCACTGCTCACAGGCAGGAGAACTTGAGAGAAGTGCTGATTAAACTTGGACTGCTGGCACCTGTTTTACACGAGAAAGTAAAGGTAATGTCCATGAAAAAACTGAGGCTGGAAAAGACAAATATGTCAAGCAGATGGTGATTGCAAAAGTAGACAAATGCACTGTCAAACATAATGAGGGGGGTTCTCAGGTGTCATTGAGAGCCTTTCAGGTTAAGTGTGGGGATTATCAGGAGGAGTCAAACAGAAGGAAGCTTCATGAGAACACATAGCATGCACAGAAGTGCATGGTGGTATGGGTTAGTGCATGTTTCTGAGCTAACATGGAGAGCTGGGGAGCAAGCTGGGAGTGATCAGGGCCAAGCCGCGAAGGTTCTTAACAGGCATCCTGAGGCAGGAATCGCTGTGGAAAGTCATCTAAGGCTCCTAAGCAGAAAAGTGAGTCATACTCCATTTAGAAAACAGCTCAGTGGCTGTGTGAAGGACAGGCAGGGACAGGAGCATGAGCTAGCAGAGGTTCTCAGGCCCATACCGACCAAAATATGGAACCACTGCAGCAGAGAATGTTTGGCACACAAGTGACTAAAATTCACATATTTCTGTCTCTTTTAAGTGAATTGTAGCGGTAAGAAAATGTATTACTTTTTTGAAGTACTACTGTGTCCTATATAATTACTTTTTCAAAAATACATCACAGGAGAACCTTAGAGGAGCAAGGGTCCTTAGACACCTGCTGTTGAAACATGCTGAGCCTGCCCAGTCTAGTTCTCCTGAAGTTGGGTCACTTCTCCCGGGTCTCTGGTCATATTCCTCCCTGTCTGGACAGAACCTTGGCGACAACTTGGGTTTACCTTTTTAACAGCCATGTGGACCTGGTCTGCTCTGCGAAGTCAGGTCCCTCCGTCAGGGCCCTCGTACTTGCTCTAAAACATACTGTGTCGCTTTGAAAGAGTGAAGTGATAGTGCCTTTTAATTCCCAGGAATTTAAGATATTAAGTTATTGTGATAATAACCAATTTTATTTTTAAACTCTTGAGCAAGATTACTCAAATACCAGAGTTCTGGTGTAAAATTACATATGTAAAAAGCCATGGTTTACAATCTCCAAAACCTAGGTCTGAATTAATGGCTCTTGTGGTGTGATACATTTTTAAATAGTGTGATTCTTGCAAACTAGAGTTTCTTAAGTAGTGAGTGAGTTAGAGTTTTAAGTGTTCCCTTTTGTTGCTTTATACATTTTTTTTAAATCAGGGAATGATTTTATTTTGAGCCTATGAGACATCTAGTATTCTTTTTCTATTATAGCTTCCAGGTAGCTCTAGTTAAGGAGAATTACTTGCTTCCTCCCCACCCCCACCCTCATTTCTTTCCCTTGTTTTTCAAACAAGGAGGGGCCTATATGTATCTTTGTTAATTAGTAAAAATTTAGGACTGGAAGGCTCCAAGGAGTTAATTGTCCTTGAAGAGACATCATTTATACAGAAACCACATGTCCGGAAGCCAAAATGTTAGTTAGAAAGAACTGTTTGAACACTAAATTTTATCTTATTTTTGTATGTGTCTAGATTTTAAAAATAGTTGGCAGGTATTTAAAATTCTGTGCTTGATACTTTTAACTTACAATTTAGGTTTATATTTTTTAAGGGCTTTATGGCCCTTTCTAATTTTTTGTGACTCTTACATCAATATATTTGGTACACGTATTACCTTAAATTATGACTTAGGAAACAATTATTTATGATCTGAAAATATTCTACCCTTCAGAGCAAGACTTGCATGGGGGTAACGTTAGGAAACGGCATCTCAGCAACTCTGATGGTGAAGTGATTGCGTTAGCAGCAGCAGGCATACAGACAGTCTCAGTTTAGGGTGGTTCAACTTACGGTATTTTGACTTTACGATGTTGCAAAAGTGATCGCTTTTAGTAGAAAATGTACATCCAGTGCCCACACAACTATTCTGTTTCTCACTTTCAGTACAGGATTCAATAAACCACACGAGATGTTCAACACTCTGTTATAGAACAAGCTTGTGTTGGGTGGTTTTTCCCAATGTAGGCCAATGTAAGTGTTCTGAGCACTTTTAAGGTAGGCTAGATTAAGCTATAGTGTTTAATAGGTTAGGTGTGTTAAGCGTGTTCTTGACTTAATGGTATTTTCAACTTACGATGGGTTTATAGAGACATAACCCATCATAAATTGAGGAGCATCTGTATAACTGTTCCCAAGATTGAGAACTTTGATGAATTTTATTAAAGTAATCAGGAATAAAGAATTATTATTTACTTCTTGCCAACAATGGGGGTAGTATTATTAGTAACCATTTAGGTTCAGCATTTGGACTTTTCAGACAAATGTGTTAAGAGTCACCACACCTGTGTTCAGGAACCCACGTGATCTGAAAAAGTTTCTTCTCTTAGTGTCAGTTTCTGCTTGTATAAATTGTCCTCGTTGGATTGCTATAAGGATTAATTGAGGTGATGCAGAAAAAGTTCTTAGCACCAGCCTGGACATTGTGTATGCTCAATAAATATTAGAAATTAATAATAATCTTATAAAATGCTTTTCTCAACTTACAATTATTTTTAGGTATAACATGGAACATACCATCTCTCTCACAAGATCAGGAAATGACCTAGTTTACTACAGATATAATAGTATTAACCAAATTGAAGTCTGTTTTATGGTTTGTTTACTTATTTGTTTTTTTAATGAACCTAGGTAACTCCATTTCCAAATACTGGATTTATAAATGGGTTTACATCTCCAGCCTTCAAACCTGCAGCATCTCCTCTGACTTCACTCAGGCAGTATCCACCGAGAAGCAGGCAAGTTCCACAGCAGCTCACGTCCATCTGTACTTCCCGTGACTCCTGCTCCAGTGTCTGTAGCAAGAGATGCATTTGGCTACTAGTAAAGCTCCCTAGAGATAGCATTGTTCGAAGCACACAAGATGAACACTAAAAGCTGTGCTGTAGTTGCCTTCATCAAGGATAGAGCTCTTTAGAGGAGGCTTTCGGGGAGGCTTTTTAATTTGGATCTGGACTTAAAAACAGGGAAGCAGGATTTTATCACCTCATTGATAGATTTGCATTATCCTATATGTATACCCTAACTATTCTAAATAATATTTTTCACATTTTTAAAAATAGAAAGCAGATTTTAGCTTAGATATTTTGCATTGTCGTGCTCATTATGTAATGCCTTGATGGTTTTATAACTGAGCTCATACAAACTTTTCTTTATAGGAATCCTAGTAAATCTCATCTGCGACATGCAATTCCTAGTACAGAAAGAGGCCCTGGGCTATTAGAAAGTCCTTCAATATTTAACTTCACTGCAGATCGATTAATCAATGGCGTTCGGAGCCCGCAAGCAAGGCAGACAGGTCAAACTAGAACACGAATACAAAACTCTTCATCTTATGCCAAGAGGGAGACTGGAACTGGGCGCGTGGAGCTGGGTAGCCTTGATTCCCCTCCTGGCTTAGGGAGAGGAAGGTGAGTTGTTCGTGTGTTGTGTTGAACAGATGCTATGGACCAATCATAAGCTATTAATATTTTTAAATTCCTTTCATTTAGATATGTTTTATAATAATTTTCAAATACAGAAAATCAAATTGAAGGCTGAAACATGAAAGGTTTTGTAAATTGCTGTGAGAGTGGTTCCTTTCAGATCGGAGACTTAAGTGGTTTCATCTTTTTTGTAATATGAGATTGTTCAGTGAGAGCGGTAGATGAACTGAGCTGTCTCGTGTCGCAGCCATGGTGTATCTGCCTGCATTCTCTGCTTGGTGGTGGCCCTGGCCCTGCAGCTCCTTTCCTCCCTTCCACCCTGCCCCTAGCCCTGCTCCTCTTCCAGCTGGCAGTGGGGCTAGTAGACACAGACAAGGGAGTTTGGTAGCCAGGTGGACCAGCATTTAAATTTCATTCCTACTAAGTTCATTGATAAACAGAAACTGTTTTTGTGAAGTGGTGCCTGTCGCCCACATACTCCATCCTTGGGGAGCAGTCTAGCCCCCGTGGTGCTGTGGTGCCTGCTGCCATCCCCTAGGGTACTTACCAAGCACCATGCTTCTTGCTGCAAGCTCCCTCCCGCTGCTCTCTTGCCTCTTTCACTCATGTCTCCCTTTAAGAGGTGAGACTGAGAGAGATGCAGGCAGGCCGTGGGCTTTGCATCCTCTGCAGTATTGACCAGGCCAGCTGGTCTTTTCAGGAGTCAGTGTGAGAGGACTGTCAGGACTTGTCTCTGTCAGATAATGAGCAAGCAACGCAGCATGCCAGAGCTTCCTTTTTAAACTTACCTTGAACAGTTTAAGTGAAAATATCTGAGTTTTCTGTATGTAAAGTATACAGCACAGTGTCTGACATACAGAAACTCCAAAAATGCTGGTTCCTGTTTCTTCCTGGTTCATTGTGTGATTTCAGTGCAGCTTGAGGGTTAAACATAATGAAGAATCAGAAGCAGCTAATCCTGTCTGTGGTGACTAAATCGACGTTTGGGAAGCCTTGGTAGGACTGTAGGACAGAGTGGCCAAAGGCAGCATGGGTTAGTAGACCTAGCGCTGGGCTGTGTATTGGTCAGGAAAGCAAGCCACGCAGCTGTCGTAACAAAGTGTGGTGTGAAATTGGTTGCACAGGCACTGGAGATTGACAAGGCGAGGAGCAACCCTGAGCAGTGCAGGGTACTGACTCGGGCAGCAGCCACCACTTAGAGCTGAATTTGGGTTCTTAGAGCCTGGAAGTGTCGAGGGAGGGGCTGCAGACCTGGACCTTGGTTCAGACAGACACAGCACCGAGCATTCAGGCTGGAGAGATGGCCTGCCCGCCTAAAGCTCCCCTTTCCCCCTAATTCTGGAGTGTTTGTTTTGTTTTCATTAACTTTTTCTTTTGGACCAAAGCACGACAAGGCACCCAGCCATGTTCATGGAGTGATGAATCCCAAGTGCCAGGCTGTCTCAGTCCTTTCTGGGAACCACTGTTATGTCACCTGGTGAAAGCATGCTCTTTGGGGTCTAAGACATCCAAACCACCAGCGGAGTTGTGGGGACAGGATGCCCAGACTCTGTGGCATGACTGTGATTTCTCTTCCATGGTGCCGGGACCCCAACGGGCCACATACTGCCCCTCGTGAGTCGGGGCCATCCCAGCGCTTTCACCAACTGCCCTGGGGCTGCTGCTGTGGTGGGACACCGTGACAGGGAGGAAGCCTTTTGTTAGGTCTGCTGATGGTGGTGCTAACAGGGCCTGTGTCAGACAGATCCACCTGGTCCAGCAAGGCAAAACTGTGCTGGAACCACTGGGGCACTGTGGTCAAGAAGCACCCCGTGTGCAGGCCTGCATGGCCCTGACTGCTCTGCCAGAGCATTCACAGCACAGACATCTGCACTGTCCACCCCACGTCCCTTCTGCTGGGTCTCCTGGTCACAGGCTTGGAGTCCTATTCTTTGTGAGGAGTTCGTCCAGCCAGATGCACAGCCCACTGCTCAGGAGCCCACGTGGATCTGTTCTTTCCCCCAGTTCTGAGTGCAGATGCAGTGGACTTGGACTCTGTCCACTGGTTTTCAGGGCACTCCTGATTGGGGTGTGATGCTGAGATCATGTGTACATGCATGTGTACATGCTGAGATCATGTGTACATGCGTGAACGTCCACAGTCCAGGTCTAGAACTCTTCCTGAGTCCAGCTCCCTTTGAGGCCGTTAGTGTGGACTGAGGGTGAGGAGGACAGCCCTGCAGGACGGTGGCTGCTGTTCCTACCCAGCTTTGTGGTATAATGCCCACCCGTAGCAGGCAGTTCAAGTCTTTGGTCACTTTTGTTCCACAGTCAGGCGTTTAGTTTCTACTGGACATAGCCTGGCTTTGCTTCAGAATCCTAAAGGTGTGTGTGGTGCCTCTCCTAGAGAGGCTAGCCAGAGGGTCCACAGAGCATTCCATTTGGCACAGAATTTGAGGAGCCTAAGGTTGTCATTCTAGGTAGTTATGCCATCTTCAGCAAGACTACTTCTTGGTTTTCTATAAGTAAAAAAATTAGTCAAGACTGTTTCTAAGCACCTTTCCAGCTTGTATAATACAAGGCCCTTGGGGATTCTTTGCGTTCAGTTGAAATGATAAAGGGATAAATAAAAAATAAAATTATAAATGGAAATTAATGTGACTTGTTAGACCACATAAGCCCATCTAGGACAATGGAAATGTCTTGTCTGTCTCAGTGTCCTCGGGGCTGACGTGAGGCTACTGCTTAATAAATGCTCATTTATTGCAGTTACAGACCACAGGGCGTGCCGAGGCCTGCTGCCCGCTGAGGTCTGATTGTGATAGGGTGCTGTTTGTCAGGCTGGCAGGGAGGCCTGGAAAGTGCATGGGGTTAGAGATCCTGTATGGTTTCTTGGTTGGGGAAACCGTGACGCTGTGGAGTGAAGGCTGTGAGGGAGGCAGGGAGGAGGAACAGATCATTTGGAGTCATTGGGATTTTGATACATAGATACATATTTGATAAATTTTCACTACCTTTTTTAAGAAGTCACCCATGTAGTTCAGTATCAGATCTTATACATCTTGTCAGTGCAACTAAATGGATGTTCAGGTATTCATATCTTAGTAAAAATTCTAAGTAGCCACTAGGTAAATTCTTTTAGTAAATGGTTTTTATTCCTTTTATTTACCTATCTGGACATGAGTTTTAATCATTTACTATAAACTTTTTGTTCTTGTTTTGCTTATACTTAAAGTTGGGATTTTAAAATCAAAAGTTCTTGAAAGATTACAAAGTAATAAAGACTTAATTGATGCTTGCTTTGAATATGTGAGCACAAACGTGCTCAGTGAAGAATCTTCCAAGTGGGGTAAAAATAGATCTTTGCTTTCTACTCTAGGAAGAATTCCTTTGGCTATCGGAAGAAAAGGGAGGAGAAGTTCACAGTGAGTACATTCAGCATGTGTCATTTTCACAAGGTGCTTGAATATGTGCTAAACAAACGTGAGATTTAATTAAGTGGATTAAGGTTAAGCCTTGAAGGAGCCTTTCGAAAGACTTAAAAAGTAATACTATGTAAGGAGGAGATGGTGGAGTTTTTAGAAATATCAATTGCTGTCCAGTTTCCTGAGTGTTAGTCCATAGCACATAGACTTGTGTGCCATGGGTAGGTGCCTCTAACAGCTCACTCTTGCACATACTATAGTCTACATGCAGGTGTCCAGATGAGTTCTGCTCCATGGATAACCATATTGTAGAATTTAAAATAACTGGAGCCATCAGTTTTGGCAAGCAGAATAGGCTCCTCCTGTATAGGAATTTGTTCCTCAGTATTTTTCATTCCAAACAGTTTAACACGCACCCAGTACAGACAGGACAAGCCCAACAATAAGTAGTAAGTTCATGTTAGCGGTAAGTACGTACGTGAGACGTGTTCATCTTGGTTTCAGTTGTGTCAGTCAGGGCACTCAGAGAGACAGCATTAGTCTCGGCCAGCCTTCGTTGTGAGATTTCAGCTCTGCTGTTCAGTGGCTGAAGTTGCCTCGTAAATGACCTTTGTTGGGTGATGAAGCATCTGCATGGCTGAGTTATCTGTACTTGTTTGTCTGCAGATGTGTTTTAGACAGACGCGGAAATGAGGTTCTCTACTTCTCTTGGGCTTTCTCTTTCCACACTGAGTGACTTTATGGGGTGTCGTTCTGTTGCAGAGCAGCCAGACTCAGTCTCCAACGCCCCCAAAGCCTCCATCACCAAGCTTCGAGCTGGGGCTGTCCAACTTCCCCCCACTACCTGGAGCTGCAGGCAATTTGAAGACAGAGGACTTGTTTGAAAACAGGTTGTCTAGCTTGATAATAGGATCATCAAAAGAAAGGGTAAGATAAATGTTACAAGTTTAATAGTTGCTAACATTTACCATGCGCACATTTTGTGCCAGGCTCTGTGCCGAGCTTTATATATGCATTATTTTCTTTTTAATACACAGAGAGGTTAAGTGATTTGCAGAGGTCATACACATTTGTAGTGATAAGGTCAGCATTGAACCCAGGACCAGGTCCTCTATTTACCTGGTTGTCTGCTGAGGTCAGGTAGAAACCTGTGCTGTGTTGTGCTGTACAGACTCTTTCTCTCACCCAGAAGCTTAGATTGCATTCTCTTTGTTGTTCAGACCTGCCCTTATTTTACAAGATAAAATGAAGCAGAAAAATCTGAATTATGCCTAAACTAATACAATTTTTAGTAATCTACATGAGATAAGTAAGGAGAAGCCTAAATAACCTCCCTGCACTACTGGTGGCTTCTGGTGAACTGTATAGGCTGCCACATGAAATGTTGTCACCCTCTGTCTGATAATCATCCCAAGAATTAGCCTGAGCCACAGAGGCCAAAGGATACCTACTTCCTACTGCCAAGATTAACGTTTGAGGGCTCTGGGAAGTACAAAGAAAACATTGTCTGCCTAGTTACTAGCAAGGCATAAGAAGAGCCAGAAAGAGCCTATTGGTGGTCTTGGGTGTGTGCATCCCTTGTGCCGGCAGCTCTTACGTGTGGCTGCACATCAGGGTCGCCCTGATGTCTCCTTGCAGTGTACACACACCACCACCACCTGCCTGCCACCCAAGGTGGGTTTCAGGGAATGGTACCATTGCACAGCCTGAGTCCAGACCACTGCAGTAGATGCAGTGCTTCCTCAGTTAGCAGGGCTGGGCTTAATTAATAGGGACTTCGCAGGCCTAGCCGGATAGCTCCATTGGTTAGAATGTAGTATTATAATGTCAAGATCAAGGGTTCAGGTCCCCATACTGGCCAGCCATCCAAAAAAAAGAAAGGTGGACTTTGCTGCTGTACCTTGAGACTAAAGCCAGCTGAGGTGTTTAGTCCTTTTCATATTGGCAGATGGGAATCACTCCTGTTTTTCACCTTGGAAGTTGAGTACGTTCCAGGATTCTGTATTTTATACTAACAGTCACGTGTTAAATTTGGTATGTCTGGCAAATTAATCTGTTTTAAACTTCTGCACAATAATTTCTGAGTTATCAAGGTCTTATATAGAATGACGTTAGAGAATTAATTAATGCACTTTAAAGATTGTGAATTCTGGCTTTCACACTGGCCTGCTCCCCTGAGTGATGGGTAGAAGGAAAGAACAGGCAGGCCTCTACTCAGTACATTTGGAGTATCTGTGTGAGGTCTCTCTTGAAGAAGGAATCGCTACTTCAGAAAAGCCTGAGCCTGATTCCACGGCCAGCTGAAATAGTCTGCCTCACCGCCTCTCAGCGGAATGGGGCAGCAGCGTCTTATAAGTCCACCTGACACTTGGTGTTCAGCTGCAGGAGCTGCTTCAGACATACTCAGTTGAGGGGGGTTGTGACGGTCACTGACTCTTTCAGAGTGCAGTAGTATGTCTGCACTTAAATCGTGTCAGGACTGAACATGTCGTGAATTTAAATGAGCTCTTATGGGAAAGAGATCTTTACAATTCCCAACTCCACCAAGCTGGGTTCCTTCAGCTTGAGCACAGGAGTCACCAGAGAGTCTGGCTCCCAGACTGGAAGGGCTGTGGAGTCTCTGTTCCCCTGCCCATGTGCAGGAGTGTGTCGGTGGTGCCGTTCCCTCCCGAAACTCTGGGCTCTTCACTTTATTTCACTTCTGAACGTTTTACCTCCTTTGAAAAGTAAAGCATTTTAAGAAAATTTTGTCTTTCGCACTTAAACTCACTACCAATTATTTATTTGCTCTACTGCCTTCTTTAAACTACATCACAAGTATGTGATTGTGCACTCTGAATGAGGCCGAGCATGTGCAGAAGAGCGGTCGCACACAGGAGTCAGTGGCTGGAGCAGAAAGATCCGGTGTCAGTCAGTTCTTAGCTTCATGACCTTGTGCAAATTAAATGTGCTATAAGCCTCAGTTTCCTCACCTGTGGAATGGAGAATGTTAACATACCTGCCCCCAAGGGTTGTTTGTGGATGCAGGTGAGAGCTACTATAGATACCTCCCACCCACAACGGAGGACTTACATGGGGCTACAGGTGCCAGTGTTCCTTTACTTGTATGATTGAGTTGTGTTCGCTGTGTCAGGAGCTCCACACTTAGCAGGCACTTGAGTGTCTGTGATGTGCCAGGCTGTGCTGTGCCCTGAAGTGTTGGATGAGTGAGCTATGTGTGTGATGTCTGTTCAACTGAGAACACGAGCTTGCAGGTGATTAGTTACACAGGAGTGCAGAAGAGAAGGCCCAGGACAGGAGCATGACTCGGTGTGTGCCAAGAGGAAGGCTAGCAAGTCCTCCATAGGCAGAGGGCAGACTTGGGTTCTCCTGTGTCCTCTGGCCACAGGGGCTTGCCGCGACTAGCTCTGCTGTCCTCGTTCGGGCAGACATGCATGGCCACTAGCACTCTCCAGCTCTGGGCAGAGGAGGATGGGAAGCAGACTTCTGTGCTTGTATTAGTTAGACCTTTCCCTGCTGTAAACTATTGCTCTGATGGTTTTCAGAGCCTCAGTGTGGATACAAGTACAAGCACTCTTCCCACGGTGGTCCCCAGAGAGCCTTCCGTGCCAGTGTCCTGTGCCGTGTCCACAGTGTTCGAGCGACCCCTCTCCCCAGCCCATTTACCCGAGTGAGTACTGATGTTCTGCCAGCACTTTGGTATGTAATAATTTGACTGCCGTGTCCACAGTGTTCGAGCGACCCCTCTCCCCAGCCCATTTACCTGAGTGAGTACTGATGTTCTGCCAGCACTTTGGTATGTAATAATTTGACCTGTCATGTTGCATGAGATTCAAATACCGGTGGCATTTTTGCAGGGATCCCAAGGTGGTAGAAAAGCAGAGGGAGACACACAGTGTGGACAGACTCTCTTCTGCCCTTACTACAACCGCGTGTAAATCGGTGCAGGTGAACGGAGCCATCCTGGTAGGTACCTCATGCCTGCCTTCCTCCGTGATATTCACAGGGGCTCTGGTGTGGTAAAAAGACACAGGACTCTCCTGCATCAGCTCTTTTGTGATCAAATCTCAGTTGGCGGGTTTTTATTTGTGTCTGTGCATGTTGTGTTTTTTATACAAAGTACCCTGAATGTTTGCTAAAGTTTCCCACTGACACTCTGGTTCTTCCTCATTGCCACTGTGCGTAGTCCTGCTATCTTCACTTCCATCGGAGGAGGCTTCTTGAGTAGTTCTGCTCTTCTCCAGGGTTTATGATGCGTTAATATTTGCTGTGTGTGTTGTGGGTGTGGTGGTGAAGTACGTGGAATGGAAGGAGGACAGCAGGCCCTTGCCAGTCTCTGAGCCCGTGCTCCAGCTTGTGTGGCCCACTGCCCTTCTTATCTGGCTGTTCCCCTCAGAAGCTGGTGAATCCAGCCTCCTTTTCCCTGATTTGCATTGTCCTCAGTTTGATCTTCGGTGAGCTTTTGTTATCAGATTGGGGAGTTAAGCCCTTACTCTGTCCACTGGGTTGAGTCTAAACAGTTTTTTGTAGGTTAAAATTACTAAGTTAACAAATGGTTTTTGTAGGGAAATATCTTGAAGTTTCCTCTTCTGCTATTCAACAACTCATGCTTCCATTTATCTGAAAACCCTTTTCAACTTTTTTTCCTAACTTTAAGCTTTGTCTTCCTTGTTCTTAAATGTACATTTCAGTCCTCCGTAGTTTGATATGTGTAAAAAAAAGGTTTAAACACTGTTTTTGCAGCTGGTCTGTTAGTGGCAGCTGCTGTGTGGTAGTGGTTGGCTCCTGTGCGCACCAGGAAAGTGGGTCAGGAGAAGCCAGCCTGTCGTGTTCCAGGGCATCGATCTTCTCCTGGGCCTCCTTTAGGCTTCCGTGTTGCTCAAGAATACCCAGCAGCTGACTCTTGGACAGAGTTTGGTCAGCACTTACCGTCACTGTACCTTTTCTGATTTTATCCATTTTTTTTTTTTCCCTTTTTGTCTTTTTTACTGACCAGTAACGGGATCGCAACCCTCGGTGTTGCACCCGCACCGCGCTCAGCCAGTGAGCAGGAACCGGTCTCCACATGGGATCCGAACCCTTGGCGGGAGCGCCGCCATGCTCCCAAGCGGTGCACTCTCCATTGCGCCACCGGGCCGGCCCATGATTTTATCCATTTTTAAAAGATATTTCTCGAGTATCCTGAGGGAAGGTTGTGCTGCAGAGGAAATGAAATTGTTGAATTTTATAAAATCACTTGAGAAGATGGGAATATTTACAGTTGAAAACTTTATCTTATGTGAGCTTTGTTGCCCATGTCCTCCTGGAGGTGCCACCTTGCGTGTGTAACCCAGTATTGGTCTCTTTCCAGGAAATGCGGAAGCCCAGCTATGCAGAGATTTGTCAGAGGACGAGCAAAGAGCCTCCTTCATCCCCTCTGCAACCCCAAAAAGAGCAAAAGCCAAACGCTGCTGGTTGTGGGAAGGAGGAGAGGAAGCCCACGGAGCCCATGGAGAGGTGCAGGGAGGCCCCTGCCCTCAGGTCCACCCCTGGAGCCTCCAAAGACCAGAGGAGGCAGCCCGGGCGCCGGCCCTCACCCCCGGCGATTGGGAAGCGTCTCAGCAGGGAACAGAACACCCCCCCCAAGTCTCCTCAGTGAAAACATATGTCTGGGAGGGGTTGCCAAGAGCTGTGCTCACCACAAACAAATACTCTTCCCACTCGGTACGAGCATGAGTCGCTGGTTAGGAGCTTGCAGTGTCTGTGAGGTCCGTGGGTGCCCGCAAGTTATTTTTCTTCTGTGAGTCAGATTCCCCCTCTTAAAAAAAAAAATCTATTTTTCAGGATTTAATTGATATAAACCTTAATTTAGGTTGGTGCTTAACTGGAGGTGATGCGTACGTCTGATTTTTTGTCAGGATAGAAAATGCATTTATCCTAACAAATTGACTTTTTTATTAACCCTTCCCTGTGGCTCTGAATGCAAACTACATATAGTGAGTTTTTCTAAATTAAGGGAACCACGCTACTTCATTTTTTAAATAACTGTTCTGCAGGTGCAAATCTCTAGAATGTCCCAGCAGGTGGATGGGGGCTGCTGACACCAGCAGGGGCGGGAATGGCCTCCCAAGGAAGGGCTGGCAGTGTCAGGGTGCTTTTATCTATACCGCTAACAGGTGATTCTAGCATTTAAACATGTACACAGAGTCCTTTTGGGATCTAGTGGGCTCAGTGAACCTGCATAGAGCACCCTAGAGAAACCTGAAACCTTTGAGTTTGGATGTACTGCAAACAAGTAACCAGCTGCTCACTCCAGTTTCAAGTGGCTATTATGTAAAATAAATTCAAAGCACATTGTGAATAGAACCCAAATGAAAATATGAACTTTGTTGCCCGCTGACATGTTACCAGGAAGTTGTACCATGATGTTGTTTTGATCCCTGTGAGGTGGCGGCCTGGCTCCTGCTGGCACCTGCTTTGTGTGCACTTCTGTCCATGTTCCCCAGGCACACGTTGGAGAGAGTCCACAGTGTAGCTAGCTCCATGTGGATGTCTTCCTGTACCTCTGCATCGGCACATGGACTTGGAAGTTCTGTAATTGTGAGAATGGTGTTTGTGGTTTTTCCCCTGTTTGGCTGGTGGAGGACAAAAATTCCTGCTTTTTTTTTTTTTTTTTTTTTTTTTAACCCTCCAAGATGAGGGTCTCATTGATTCACTTCTAGAAGTGCTGCACTTCTGAAGAACAAGGATGCACTAAAGTGAGCAAGTTAAATGTAAATTATTTTGTTTTAAAATGCCTAAAATTTTTCTTTAAGTATTCTAAGCAACAGACATTAAAATATGAATATTTCCTGCTAAATGTAACCATACAGTTTATTCCAAAAATATTATTTAAGTAGACTGAGGTGTTTTTTAAAAAAAAAAAAATTATTTCCATCCAATATTTAAAGACTTGAATTTTATTTAAACTTGAAAATGACTTTGCCTTAACTTTTGTATAAGACAGCTTAGAGTTCGTGAGACCGGCCCCCTGGGCTGGCATGAGTGGGTTAGGGCTACTCGGTACCATGTGGGTCTCTCGTCACTAGTTGTGCTGAGTAAGCATACTGTAGTGCAAGAACTAGCAGTAGTTTTGTAATATACCTTAAAGATCTTAAACAGTTGATCTTTTTTCAGATTGTTGAAAATCCTGTAAATGCAAATAGTCGATACTGTATTAAATATGTGCACTTGGGAGTGTGCTTTGGTTGTACAGTTGTAAATAATCAGAACATATTAAAAGGTACCCTACAGAGAAAAATCTGATAAAGATTATTGATATATTATAAATGTTGCTGTTGAGCTTGATGTAGATAAACTAAATGTTGTGGTTTGAATATTATTTTAATTTGTTGAGATTTTTTTTCTTAATACTGGTGTGTGGAACTGATTCTGCTTCTTTGCTGCAAAAGAGAAATGGAAAGTCTTATTAAAAGCCTTCAGATGTTTTCATACTCTTTTTTAGAAGTATGTAAATACATACTAATCATATCTAATATGAAAGGGTTTTGAAGTATAATATAGAAAAAAGAAACTGGCAGGGTCTTCAAATGACAATGCACGATAATCTGCTAATTGAAATCACATGTGGCTAAGCATGATCCGCCTGCCAGAGGAAAGCATGCCTGCCACCTTTGGCCATTTCCTTCAGAATAGCGGTTGTTACTCAAAGATGTAGACCCCAGGTCACCACGCCATGGAGCGAGGCCTCGAGTTTTCACAATGAGAAATGTTTTCCCCAAAGGTGCGGGTGTTGCAGCGCGACGTGTGTGTGGTTAGAGCCGGCTGTAGTGCTGGCTGGTGTGCTGCTGGAGCATCGGTTCAGCAGCTGCACATGGGAGAGCCGGCCGTGCCGCCATCTGGTCAGGGCCATGCACTGGAATTACTGCTTAGTCAAACACGGCCTGTGAATCAGGAGCTGAAACCTTGTTCAGATGTGATTTTTACAGCATTCTTTTTAATTAAGCAAAGGTGATATGCCAAATAGCCATGTAATGTCAAAAAAACGCTTTCTGATATTACTTTGAGATTTTCCACTCAGAAGATGATGGGCGTTTTCACACTAGGAAGCTGTGGCACACACGCAGTCACTGTCACATACGGCAAGTGATGTGTGGCTTTCATGCGTTGTTTGAAGTGTAACTCATTCCTTTCCCCCAGCAGTATCTCAAGTTACAGAGTCAGAGATGCAGCACTCACAAGTGATGTTTTAACTTGTCAAACTGTGTGATGATCTTATCATTTGGAAATACAGGACTAAGAATCTGGCCCCGTTTCAGAGACATGAATTTCAAGGAGAGGAGTTGCCCTCTGAGTTGTTGTCACAACGTTTCCCATCTGCCCTCTGGTCATTGCCCCCCTGGCCGTCACTGGTGGGTGTTAGTCAGGATTTCTGCAGTTCACATTTAAAAACTGGCGTTTCACCCCAGGTGACTCCAGGTGCATACTTGTGGTGTTCACCCATCATTGAGCTGTGGGCCTGTGTGCTCTGTGGCCCATCACATGGCAAGCAGCAGACAATCAAAGATGTGGGGAGCACTCATGCCACCCAGCCTCAAAGTGGGAGTATGACATGGAAGCTCTGAGTGGGGTTTTTGTTTCTGTTCTACTTTTCATTGAGACTGGAATCACGCTCACATGTAAACTATTGGTAACTTAAGTTTCCTTTTGTGTCATTCAGTGTACAACTGTCTTAATTTGAAAAAAAAATGTAGGTTATGCAAAATAAAGATTTAGGCACTGTTTAATTTTTCTTTTGATTTTTTTAAATTAAAATTTTCTTCAAAAATGCATCTTTTTTTATAACTAATTTTTGTCTGTTGCCATCATTGTGCATGAGAAAGACACATAGGGCCACTAGCTTGTTGGAATCATAACGGCTTCCAGCCCCACGTGTAAACTGACCACAGCATGAGAGATTTCCTCCTGAAATGTTTTCAGGTGTTCAGAGTGAGCATTAAGATCAAGTACTCATGAGGAGACAATCATCAAATCCAAGATTTACCACAAAATAAATATTCCTATGCCAGAATTTTTTACTTTTATTAAAATGGCAGTGGGTGTCCCAAGATGTCTCTATGAAGTTATTTGGAGTGGATGTTGGATCGTCACAGTTTTCAGATCATAAATAAATCTCAAAAACCAAGTAATTGGCTTATATCCGTAAACAGTGGTGATGCCAGCACTGATAAAAGGCTGAAGGTGGGGAAAACTTCTTTGTATGTTATAAATTTAGTGGAAAGATTGTCTGACTCCGATGCTGGTTGACTGATTCATGTATTTTTCTGATTTTTCTGCTGAGGGCTATCTTTTTCATATTGAATTGATATTATTTATCTGTTCTGGCCATTAAGCCTTTGCTATATATGTTACAAATATTTTCTTTTTTTTTTTTTTTTTTTTTTTTTTTTTTTTTTTTTTTT